TATAATACAAATATATTTATATGAACTAAAAATATATTATATAGTCACACACAGTAACATTTTTATGTACAATATATCTACAAGTATAAACAAAAAGTACAGAATTTTATTTCGCATAATATATATTGTATATCTGTTTTATTCGACTGTATGACTATTTTACAGTAAAAATTTTCATATGAACAAATATTCCACTATATATATACACAATTATCTTTCTATAAAACATCACTTTGAAATTATTAGTGAAATTAAAAATCAAAACAAAAATTCAAATAAAAAAATCCTAAAAATTTCTTTATAATAATAATTATTAACAAATTTCGTCAAATTTATTATCTCTAACATATATATAAAGAAAAACACACACACAACGAAAGTTTGTTTTGTCTATGTTGTCTTTGTATATATAATACTTTCTTTGTCCACAAATTAATGTTCTATTTTTCTATTTGAGACGTCCAATAACTATTGTCCTATTTTCTTTTTTAAACACAAATTTTATATTTTTACCTTTCATTCATTTATTACTTTTCATCTCTACCATACAATTAAGGGCAAATTTGTCAATTCATAACAAAAAGACAATCACCTAAAAAACCGTGCTAATATACTTTAGGATAATAGAAATTAAACGGACGAAGTATATACTATTTTTTTTTAAAAAAAAAAAAAGAAGAACGATTTTTATAAGATATTATTTTAAAATTTGCATTACCATTTTTGTTTTTTTGGCTCGACAAAATAAATAGCTAAATGTTATGACACATCACTTTAATTAATAAGTGTCATTCATTTGCAATATACATGTATTTTAATTACCTTGTGGCATATAATGAAGTTGATGACTAAGCAATAGTTATATTGCTTATAAAGAGCCATAACCATGAATGAAAAGAAATAGATTTCATTGCTCTTTCTCTCTCTCGTCTCTTGATATCTCTCTCTAGATCATATATATATATATATATATCAATACATATATTACAATATCTATATTACTCCCTCCGTCTCGAAACTAAATATTTTTTTATTTTTTTACGTAATTTTAGAAATATTAGTATTATATTGGGATATAATAGGAATAAAATAGAAATGACTAAAATATCCTTATTAGTACGTGTGATATAAATGTAATGGCATTTGTGTAATATATTGTAAGTTGTAAGGATATTTCTAATGTTAGCTAGATAGTACAGTTACTAGAAAAAAAAAATGGATACTTTGTTATAAGACGGACTAAAATGGAAAAATTGATATTTTGTTATGGGACGGAGAGAGTATTATATATTATTATTAGTAGCGGTATTTTCATATTTTGTTATATATTTTATAACAGTAAATGACTTTTACAGTTTTACCTAATTATAATAAGAAAAGGGAAATGATTTTTATTATTGATAAATGAATAAGCAGCTGAGTCGTGAGGGAAAGCACATTGGATGTGATCTTATACCCAAATCTAATAATCAATTATTGTTCCACTATGTAAAGTAAAATAAAATAAATAAAATAATACAAAAATTAGATTAAATAGATATTTAATAAATTAAATTCTCTTGTCGCATTCTCGATATCATTTTATTACATAAATTTATTGGGCCTTTGCTTAGAAGAGGGCTTCTTCGTTTATGCAGCCCAATAATATGGTGGGGCCCAATATAGCCCATTTGTAAATTTCGAAATAATATCAATATAGACAATAGGAGTTTTACAAAATTTTATTGTGTATTCCGTAGTGATTTCAAATCTAAATTAGTCTTTCCTTCGTCCCACATTGGCTGTCTTGATTACTGTAAATACAAAAATTTAGGATAAGTATAATTAATAGATAATTAAAAATGTATTAGTGAAAATAATTAACTTATAATATAAATTATTATATATTAAGATTAAGATAATTAATTAGTTTAATTAAAATTAGAAAAAATTAAATTAAAAAATTTAAATTGAGATTAAGATGCATAATTATTTTTCAAAAAAAGAAAGTGACATAAGATGTGAGACGGATAGAAACGGCAACATGGACATGATAGGTGGGACGGAAGGAATACTATTAATCATGCAACAATATAAAAAAATATTTTAAAGGAAAATATTTTTTTATGCTTAGATATAAAAATTGCGTCATTAATATAAATATATATATATATTTTTAATAAATAAAATGTATATACTCCTATTATATATATATTTTTTACACTAATATTTATAAAAATAAAAAATAAAATAAAATTGTACTGCTCAAAAGTAACTTGGATGAATAATCCTAATATTCATGCAAAATACAATAGCACACTCTCGTGTGAAAATATTACTATTACAAATTGATTGTTTTGAACTAATATATAAAAAATGTGTTTTTAATGATTTATTTATAGCAAATTTTACTCTCTCTTTTTTCTTACTTATATTTATAGTAATTTTTATTTTTATTTTTTTCCATATTTATGTCTTAATAATACTTATAGTAAATGAATATTTATTCATATATATAGAGTTATTTAATTATAATTTGAAATTAATTTGAAATATAATATTAATTTTTTATTTTTTTTTAAATAATATTTTAATTTTATGTTCTATAAGATGAAATAATATATTTTTGTTTTCATAGTCAATACTGTTAATATCAATTTGAAAGAAATTTTTTTTTTTAAATTTTTTTAATATTTATAGTTTATTAGTTATATTAAGATTATGTAAAAATGACAAAAATAATACTTCATTTGTTCCGGCTATAGTGTTTTTTTTTTTGTTTTTTGTTTTTTTTTTTTTACTGTAGACACTAATTTATGAGGGGCATAATTAATAAATAATTAAGAATGTATTAATGAAAATAATTATAGTATAAAACATTATAATACTTATTAATAATTTATTTAATGATATAAAAAAGTAATTTGGCAAAAATATTTTTTTTTTAAAATAAAGAAAGATATTAATTAATCATTCTATTTTTTAACATTATTTTTCATTTGTAATATTTCAAACATAATGATAAAAAATACCAAAAATAAATATGAAAAAAAAAAAAACCTTCAAATATGCGTTATAAAAAATCATTCAAACATAAAAGAGTCAAATATTGAATGAAGCCAATGTATCCATAAACCTTGATGATCCTACAAATATATACTCCCTCCATCCCTTTTTTAAAGAGGTCATTTGAAATTTCATAGTAGATTAAGAAATAATACTTTATCCGTCTCAAAACTATAGTTTGGGCTGTGTCTGATACAAAATTTAAGGAATATTGATAATTGCTAGTGGGTAAAAGACTTTTTTGCCATTGTGAGTGTATTAGTAGTGACAATTGTATAATAATAATGAAAAAATAAGAATAGTTTTATAGTGATATGATTATTTATGAAAATGAGACTATTGTTTTGAAACGGACAAAAATGGTAAATATGACTGTTATATTGAGACGGATGGAGTAATATTTTATAGATTAATGAAAGTATGTAAGATATTTTTATATTTTTGCCATTTGCTCTTTTGTATAAAGAAATTGTATGTGTTACTGTGTAATGTTATGATTATAATTTAAATAAAAGTTAATGATATTTTGGTATTAATGTATGCGTACTTTTACTATAAAAAAAATGAAATAAGTACTTTTGAGTGGGACGGACAAAAATAATATAAATAGTACTTTGAATTAAGACGGATGAAGTATATATATATATTAGTCTATTAGTTTGAGTTCATTTTATATTTTTGGATAAATGTATATACTCCCTCCGTCCCACATAATTTGTCCCTATTTTCTATTGTCGTCAGTCCCACATAACTTGTCATTTCTATTTTTGGAAATATAATTATGCACTTTAATCGCATTTTAAATTTTATAATTTTCTTAATTTTAATTAAACTATTTCCTTATCTTAATCTATAATTATTTTTACTAAATAATGATTATTTTTACTAATACACTTTTTAATTACTTACTAATTATATTTTACCTAAATTCTCGTGTCTACATTAATACACCTATATTACATGAGACCGATGGAGTATTATATTAATATAAAAATTTTATATCTATAATATAAAAAAAATACTCCCTCCTCCCTCTGATGATTTCTTTAGTTAGAGACACATTATTTTAGGTATAAATTAGTAAATTATTAAATTGTATTTTAAATATTTTTAGTATTATATTTCAATAAAAAATATATAATATGAATATTATTTTATAAAGAATAAAATTGTATAAAATAAAAATAAATAAATAAATATATTTATGTATTTATCATTACCATAAGTTAATTTAATAAAAAAAATATATTTATGTATTTATCTTACCATAAATTAGTTTTATAAAAATAAAAAATAAAAAATTTTAACGTAATAAAGGTATTAATTAATTGATGATAGATAGAAATAAATTTATTTTGAATACTCTGTACTTAGAAATTTAATTAAATTATTTTATATGTATTAAATATATTTAAAATTAGCAGGATAGAGAAAGTCTTTATGTTGATATACTCCCTCCGTCCCGATAATTTATTTTTCTTTTTTTCTCGTCCCATAAAAGATGAACTATTTATATTTTTAATAAATTTATTCAGTTTAAATATATTTAACAAATATAAATTAATTGAACTAAATTTCTAATCTCTTCTCAAAACATCTATCTATATTTCTATCTCCCTCTTTTAATATTGTTTTATAATACTAAAATTATACAAACATAAAAATATTTTTAATATAAATACAATAACATAAATGGTAAATGTATCCAAAATTTATATTATAAATTAAATATTAATTAAATAAATCTAACTTTCAACTCAATTTTTAACACAAGACAATATAATTAATTTGATAGACTGTTGCACGCTATGCAGAGCCGCCGTGAAATTATTTGACAAACATATAAAATAGAAGAAAGGCCAAATGGCACTCAATAGTACAGAAACAAAGGCCAAGAGTCAAGACAGACTTTTTTTTTAATCGGAAGAGTCGTGCAGACTTAACATAACTTTCGATGACCAAAAAAGCCAAAAATATCACAATGTGGGGGCGGGCAAACCGATCGGTGTGTCTCCTCGGTCAATTCAAATTAATCCAAACCATGAAACAAGAAATTCCAGACAGACACAGATTCCTCAATCATCAAACAGTCCTAACACACCTACAAATACATACATACATACATGTCCCAATGAAGCAGCTAGTATCATCATCGATGACGACGATGAGCGAAGGCGAGTGGATTCTGCTGGATTTCATGCCAAGCATGTTTGGGTCCAGAGTCAGGATTGCACTCGAAGAAAAGGGAATCAATTACGAGTACAGGGAAGAAGACTTACCCCAGAAAAGTGCACTCCTCCTCCGAACGAATCCAGTGCACGAGAAGATCCCCGTCCTGATACACAATGGACAGCCAATATGTGAGTCTCTCAACATACTCGAGTATATTGATGATGTGCATAGCACCCCACACCCTCTCCTTCCTTCCGACGCCTATGGAAAAGCTCGAGCACGGTTTTGGGCAGATTTCATCGACAAGAAGGTAATTCCCCCTACAAATACATAACACACATATATGCATACAGTAGAACTCAGCCTACCCATGGGAGCTTGAGCTTGAGTTCAATAAAGTGAAACTATTAGACATCTTGAAATCAATCTAACTTAAAAAGAAAACAAATATATTCAAATATCCACCATCATACATATATAAGAATAAAGTATTTCAAGTTTCTTTAATGTAACTTGAGCTGTTATCTAAATCTACGAATCGTTTTATTGCAGCTTCAAGTATCGGGTATGAAGGTAGCATGGTACAAGAGCAAACAGGAGTTAGAGGAAGGGAAAAAGGAGGTGATGGATTGCTTAGAACTATTGGAAGAGGAACTCGGACAGCAGCCCTATTTTGGAGGGGAAGCCTTTGGGTATCTAGATGTGGTTCTCGGGGGATTTTGCAGCTGGTTTTATGCCTATGAAGCTTTCGGAAATATAAGCATAGGGAAGAACTGCCCTAATGTGATGGCATGGGCTAAGAGGTGTATGGATAGACCGAGTTTCTCCAAATCCCTCATGGAACCCGAAAAGCTAATTGATTTTGTGGTAAACACTCGAAAGAAGGGAGGGCTCGATTAGAAGAACTAATGTTTAATAATAAAAACAAGCATGTCGACAACCAATGTTATCATATATCAATGATGAAATTATCAATTTTCAAGAAGCATAAAGTAAATGTATCCAAAAGCGCATTGTTGAATCTCACACAATCAGAATGAAATACTGTTATTTGAACTGAATCAAATGATAAATGGCTGTAGAACTGAAGCAAAATTTATTTAATTTCACATAAGTCAAAAGACCGAACTTTTATTTGCCATAACAACAATGACACAGTGGAGAAAAGAACTAAACCTTTAGTTCGATCAAGATCTGTTTATACTACTAAACTCTAATGCGATGAAGTACCTATTTCATCTAGTCGGCTAATTTTTCATTTCATAGATCATATGTTTAACTCTCACAAATTTCAGTCCGTATACTCTCCCTTTTTAACCATTGAAAAGGAGTAAATATGAGAATCTCACTCGCCATCAGCCATACTTTCAAGAACTGTTACCAAGAACAAGCGGGAATACTACTTATTATCACAATCAGTCGCATAAAAGTCCCACAAGACATACATAGAAGAGAACTCACAGTTTAATATTAGATCCCGTACTTCTTCTTCATCATCAGGACAAATTCATAAACCTTCTTAGGATCAGCCAATGACTTGGAGACACTCTCTCGTTCCATGCATCTCTTAGCCCACGGCAACAATTTGGGGCAATGTTCCTCGATGCTGAAGCTTCCGCAAGTCTCGTAGGTATCAAACCAACTGTAGTAACTAATGAGGGCCAAATCAAGAAACCCGAAGGTGTCTCCACTAAAGTAAGGTTTGTCCCCCAATTCGCCTTCCAACAACTTAAGGGCATCAATGAATTCCTTCTTCGCTGCTTCTTGCTCTTGCCCTTTTCTTGTCCATATTCCTCTCCCAGCATCAAATAACTATATTCACGAATTCAAGTAAACCAAAACATCAATGTTATATCAACAACGTTGCCCTAATCAAGATTTTGTTGGGAATCCAATTGGATTTTCTCGAACAGAGTATATTTTAATCGAAAACAAACCTACCACAATGTATAATGTATATATCATCTTCAACCTACAGAACCATTCCCTAAAATATACCTAAAACCCATGCTAGAATTCCAAGGATCGAAGCATAGCTGAATTTCCAATGCTACAAAATCACAAGAATGTAAATCATACTTCCCCCAGAACGATCTTACTTTCAGCTTTTAATCATGCCCTAAATATAAGAAACTGAAAAACACGAAGTTACGATTACCAAAAACTGATAGTGGAACAACAAATCGAGTTCCCGAACCTTTTTGTCGATGAAATCGACCCAAAACCTAGCTCGAGCTCGCTGATAAGGATCGGAAGGCAACAGGGGAGAATCGCCTTTCCACACTTCGTCAATGTACTGAACTATCACCAACGATTCACAAACAGGATTCCCGTTGTGAATCAGTACAGGAATCTTCTTGTAAATCGGATTCATCTGTAGGAGAAGGGGACTTCTGTCGGCCAAATTTTCCTCCCTGTACTCGTACTGGACCCCTTTCTCAGCCAATGCCACCCTAACCCTCATCCCAAACATGCTCACATAAACATCCAGCAGAATCACCTCCATCAATTACAGGTTCGAATGGCAATCTAAAGCAACTGAACCTGCGCGACAAGGTGGAATCGATAGCGTCGGAGCAAAGAATCGCAATTCCCGCAGGGCACTACGAGGGGTTTTCTGCTGCCACGGCAATACGGCGTATTGATTTCAATTGTTCAGTCTAACTTTTGCTGCGTCTGTGTTTGCACCACCATCATCATCATCCAATCATCATCAGCTGTACTGATATCATGATGAAAATCCAACGGTTCCTATAAATTAGGAGCTATGCTTTTCACAGTTATCACATGTGCTGTTTAATATGCTCCATTTACATAATTAACTTTTATTTATGCGGTACTCCTCCGTCTTAGATACCATGTACACACTGCCGTTTTTGTTTATTCCACGTACATGTCACTTTTTTTTTTAATGGTTACACTTTAATCTCATTTTAAATTTTTTAATTTTATTTTTTTAATTTTAATTAAACTAATTAGTTATCTTAATCTTAATTTATAATTATTTATATTATAGGATAATTATTTTCACTAATACATTCTTAATTATCTACTAATTACACCTCTCCTATACGGTGTCTACGGTGTAGCAGACACGATATCTGCGACCTAGGGAGTATTATTTATTTCATATTATTTAATTATGTAAAAATTTTAATTAATTAATAATAATGAGTTATGGTATTATTTTATTATTTTGTATGTAATTAATAATATTGATAATTTTGAAATAAATTTAATAAATATAATTGAAAAAATAAAAATATATATTTAAATATTTTAAAAATTATATAGCAATAAAAAAATATATGCAATATGAATATTATTTTTTTATAATGCAAGTAAATAAAAAAATACTTTTATTTATTTATAATTAATATAAATTAATTTTATAAATATTTATTTTTTAATGAGAAATAAAAATAAATGAGTTTGTAGTGGTCCTATATATATAATGTTATGCAGTTAATTAAGCTAATTTATATTTGTTAAGTATATTTGGAGGATCAAGTGCTGATGTAGTATAAAATTCAGCACAAGCTGAAATAAATCTCCACCCTTAATTTAAATTTAATTATTTTAATTAAATAAGTAATCTAATTAATCAATTATGTAGATGAAATTCAGCACAGCTGAATTCATTAATTCAACAGCTAATCCAACCTGTTTTGATTCAGTGAATTTTACTCAAAATAGAAAGGTTTTGTTATGAAACAAACAAAAATACAAAAAAGTTTTTTATCCATACTTTTTACCCACTACCAATATAATATCAATATTCATTAAATTCCGTTTTAACTCAATTAAGACTATACTTACGACACGGAAGGATTGCAATATATGCCTAACAAATTAACAAATAAAGCTAATAACCAAACTCAAACTAACAATTAAACCAAACAGCCCAAATTTAATTAGTTGATTTAACTAATTAGATATAATGGTTGTTTGTGTTAAGAGTTTTTGGTAAAATAAATATTTATACATAAAATATGATAATTAAATATATTATTATATTTTATATTTTTTGAATCTTTATATTACGTTAAATATTGATTACTTTATTATTTTATTAAATTTATAATTTTTAAATAAATTTGAAAAACTAAAATTATAGTTTAGTAAAATAAAAAATATATTGAAATAATTATTAAATTTTACAACAATTTTTTCTTTTTTTTTTAAATATACAATGAGAAAGAAGAAAATAAAATACAAAATACATAGTATAACATAAAGAATAATGTAAAAGACAAAAAAGAATGTAAAGATAAATAAGGGAAAAAATTAAATATAATCAAGATGTTATTTTAAAATATTGACATATACAATTTTTGGAAATTGTTTTCTTGAATCCAAAAAATTATTTAAAAAAAATAATTTACCTAATATTTAAAAATATTTTTTTACCTATCAAAATAATAAAAGTTAGTTTAATAAGTTAAAAACACTTTAGATTATCTTCAATTAAATACTAAATTTTTGGGGTGCTCTAAGAAATACCATGTTCACAAATAAGTAGTGTATTAACTTGGATACCACAAATAATTTAATTTGTATATTTACTGAATTCTTTACTTAGATTAGACGGGGGTTTAGTATAGAGAATAGAATTGCAGAGAAATGAAGGTAGATAATGGAATTTGAGAGAAATGAAAATGATTTATTTCTCAATTTCTATTTCTCTGACTCAAACAAATAACGGAAATAAGACCATTTCCATTTCTCTAGCCTCATTTCTCTGTACCAAACACACCCTTAGATCTTTTAGCAGACTGAATTGCTTGTTGACTATATTGCGAGAGAATTACTATGACTTGATCCACGTTTGGGGTAACTTAAAAAAAATAAGTACTTCGTCCCGTAAGGGTTGGCCTGGTGGTGTAGGGGTTGGACTTGTGACCGTAAGGTCTGCCACACATGTATACTTATAGTCAAGTGAATTTTTAACTTTAATCTTTCTAGTGATCTTTTTTTTAAGTAATTGGAGACTCAATAATACTTTTTTTAAAAAAAAAAATTTAATATTCATCTTTCTAGTAATCTTTTTCTTTGAAGTAATTGTATTGATTGTTATTGATTTTAGATTTAGAAAAAGATTTACCTATGCTATTTTTAGAATTTGCTCCGCAAGGAGCAATCAAATCATTAGCTTGATCATCAAAAAAATTTATAAACATTTTTTGCTTCAACTACTTATAATTCAATTATGCTTTTACATTTTTTTAAAAAATCACATCACGACTATATAATATTGTATCAGCAACACAATCAAGCAAACCAAGTAAAGAATATGACAAAATCAATGGTTGATCCTTATAATCAAATCTTAACACTAACATTCTTCAAAGACATAATAATCTTGTCAAAATCATAACCATTATTCATAATGAGTGTACATTCTTTTATACGAAGAATATAGAATTATTGTTTTAAATAAAATCGCATAGTCGACGACTTCGTCATATATAATACTTTTGATTTTAGCCACAAATTTTTCGACGATTTCTCATATGTAATAACACGCAAAACATTTTCACACAAAAACATCTAAATAGCACTGATAGCACGCACCACAAAGTCTTCATTGTCTTCACCGGACATATTTTCCACAAATGTCTCTCTGCGATCTTGTACATTAAATAATTCTTATTGAACCAATAAACTACACATCTTAATTCATCATAATTCAAATCTAGAATTATTTTTACCATATAAATTTCTTATTTCTTAATGGTATCATAGCAATAGAGAGCATCAAGAATCAAATAATTGCATAAACTATATATTTCGTCCGTACGTCAAAATTATATCATTTTTTTAAGCATATGTTAAACTTATTTATAATCAGTTTATATTTATCTCAACAATTTTATTATTTTTACTTTAACAAATAATAATTAATTTGTCATTATTTTTTTAATAAAATTTCTATAATACTTCATTTTACTTTTTATCTATCTTATTTAATATTAAAATATTATTATTTTTAAAATTTTGTATCCAAGAGAATCTATATAATTTTATTGAAGTAAAAAAATATTTATTTAAGTGAACAACTTAGGATTTATTTTTTACAATTTCAACTAAAAATAACACTATTCATTAATTTTCAATAAAATATATTGATAGTGTGATAAAAATAAAAATGAGTGTTATTGTTTTAAAATAGACAAAAATAACAAATAGAATTATTATTATTTTATTTAGTAAAAAACAGTAATAATTTTTGTATAAAATAAAATATTAAAATAGTATTTAAACCAAAACTTAAATTAATATTTCATTACAAATTAAATCAATTTCAACGTGACCAAACAAACCCTATATAGTTATTTATGTATTTATTTATAATATAATATGAAAACCAAAAAAGAGGAAAGATAAGGGTCCACTTGGTCTCGTCAGTGTGACCTCTAAAATAAAAAATCGGACATCGCCCAGCCTGTTTTGCTACGGTCACGCAGCCGGTGCAAAACGGTCGCACTTCAACCGTCAGATTCACTTCTATTTCCAAAATATCAACGGATCAGATGATTTTCACACATTGGGAAAAGTCACAGCTACGTGGCTTTATCCTAATCACTTCACAATTCATGGTACCCGGACACCTTTCTTTCCCCTCTCTTTCTTTCTCTCTCTTTCTCACGATCGATCGAAATTGTAAAAAGCTCGCGCAGCTGCCATCAATGATGGAGCAATTTGGCAGATAGTATTTGACAACGAAACCCGTTCGAGCTGTTCTTAATACACGCAGAGAGATATGCTCAACAGATACTCAATTTTTTGATAATGTTGGGTGAGTTTTCTTTGTTATAAAGTTAGTTCTATTGTGCGTTTTCGCTGTCTTCCCCATTCTTCTGCTTCTAATTTTTCTATTTTTGGCATAGAAGTTGCGTCGGTTGCCGGATAATTGTTTGGAATGGTTTTTCAATTTTAAGATCCAGCCTCAGTATTGTGTAAAATCCATTTGGTAACTGCTTGTATCTGTGCAGCTACAAAAGCAGGTTTGCGATTAGGGGTATTTCATATTCTCGGTTAATTAGGGTTTGATTGAGCTTTCTAGTGGTAATTAGTTGATCGAAGTTACTCCAATTTGATGTCTACTCAGTTTATACACCCGCGATTGATTTAATTCATTGCATTTTTCTGAATGGATTTGAATCCAGTGAATGTCATTGCTGGTTATGAAGTTGTATTGGAAATTCGTAGTTTCTAGTTTCGAATATTAGTTGAAGATGAACTGATTGTTGGAATGCGATTGGTGAATATGATTGTTTGTTTCTACTTATTGCAGCAGTTGTTTAGACAGAGGATTGTGAAAGAAAGATCTCTGGTTTTGAATTTGGTATGGAGCTTTGTAATTGCATTGAGCCGCCATGGTCGGCGGATGAACTGCTGATGAAGTATCAGTACATTTCGGATGTATTCATAGCATTGGCGTATTTCTCGATCCCTTTGGAATTGATTTACTTTGTTAAGAAATCGGCCGTGTTTCCGTATAGATGGGTGCTCGTGCAGTTCGGTGCATTCATCGTTCTTTGCGGCGCCACGCACCTGATCAATCTCTGGACATTCTCAATCCATTCTAGGACTGTTGCAGTTGTGATGACAACTGCAAAGATCTTGACGGCGGTTGTCTCTTGCGCGACGGCGCTTATGCTCGTGCACATCATCCCCGATTTATTGAGTGTCAAGACTCGGGAGCTGTTTCTGAAGAACAAGGCTGCAGAGCTCGATAGAGAAATGGGATTGATTCGAACTCAGGAAGAAACTGGAAGACATGTGAGAATGCTGACTCATGAAATCCGGAGCACTCTTGATCGGCATACGATCTTGAAGACTACGCTCATTGAGTTGGGTAGGACGTTAGGGTTAGAAGAGTGTGCGCTCTGGATGCCGACACGGACGGGATTAGAGCTCCATCTCTCGTACACGCTTCGCCACCAGAACCCCGTCGATATTACAGTACCGATACAGCTCCCCGAGATCAATCGAGTTTTCAATACTAGCCATGCCGTGAAAATATCCCCGAGTTCTCCAGTTGCTCGGCTTAGACCTGTTGGTAAATACATGCCTGGAGAGGTGGTTGCCGTTCGTGTGCCACTCCTGCATTTGTCGAATTTCCATATTCATGATTGGCCCGAACTCTCGACCAAACGGTATGCTTTGATGGTTTTGATGCTCCCTTCGGATAGTGCTCGCCAGTGGCACCTCTACGAACTTGAGCTTGTTGAAGTTGTGGCAGATCAGGTTCACATCTATTTTCGCTTGATTATGGTAAAATTGTAATACAGTCTTGATTAATGTATGGAATCTATGCTTTTGAATCAGGTTGCTGTTGCCCTTTCCCATGCTGCAATTTTGGAGGAGTCGATGAAGGCACGAGATCTCCTTATGGAACAAAATGTCGCGCTTGATCTAGCAAGGAGAGAAGCTGAAACTGCTGTTCGTGCTCGCAACGATTTCTTGGCTGTCATGAATCACGAAATGAGGACTCCTATGCACGCAATAATCGCTCTTTCATCTTTGTTGCAAGAGACCGAGCTGTCACCCGAGCAGCGTCTGATGGTTGAGACTGTCCTCAAGAGCAGCAACCTATTGGCTACACTCATCAACGACGTCCTCGATCTTTCGAGGCTCGAAGACGGCAGCCTCCAGCTCGAGACAGGGACTTTTAGCCTTAATTCACTCTTTAGAGAGGTAAAGATATCCAATTTTCTTTCTATACACATCCCGTCCGAGCTTAATTGTAACTAACGTCGTAATTTCTTATTATAGGCTGTTGCGTTAATAAAACCTATAGCTGCAGTGAAGAAATTGTATATTCGGCTGAGTTTGTCCCCAGAACTGCCCGAGTATGCAATCGGCGACGAGAAACGAATTATGCAAGTTCTGCTAAATGTCATTGGGAATGCTGTGAAGTTCACCAAGGAGGGCGGTGTGTCGATATCTGTTTTTATTGCAAACTCAGACTCATTACGTGACCCTCGGGGAGCACCTGATTTTTTCCCGTTACCGAGCGATAATCACTTCTACTTACATGTAGAGGTTTGTTCCTACTTCCGCCCTAAAAGTCGATTGTGTTTAATTTTACATAAATAACGATTCTGAATCTTGTCATCTAGGTGAAAGATACGGGTTCTGGAATTAACCCTCAAGATATCCCGAAGATATTCGTGAAATTTGTGCAGAACCAGCCACATGCTGCCAAAAATTCGAGCGGGCTTGGTCTAGCTATTTGTAAGCGGTATGATGCTACATTATATTACTACTTTTCCGAATGCACGGGATATTTTTGAATCGATTTTTTGCCCACGGTTTTATAATCTTTGTTTTATTCAATCAGGTTCGTAAATCTCATGGAAGGCCACATTTGGATAGAAAGTGAAGGCCTAGGCAAGGGTTCGACTCTTAGATTTATTATTAAACTTGGAGTTCCCGGGCGTTCATTCGAGTCTAAACTCTCGTTCATGCAAAAAGCTGCTGGAAATCAAACAAGGCCGAATTTTTCCGGGCTTAAAGTTGTTGTCATGGACGACAATAGGTAAGTACTTCTTGCACCTTACACAACTTGTTAAATTAGGCCTCAACTCTTTCGGAAGTTGCTTCTGACCAATTGGCTATTTGTTTCAACTTATCTGGCTTCGAATTAATGCATAAGAATTTTCAAGAAGCATATTTATCGACGTATAGGCATTCCTTCTGGATAAGTGTCATTTCAATTTAAACGTAGAACTTGTGCGTCAAATGTGTTGCAAATATGTGTGTTTGTTTGTGGGTTTGGATTTTTGAATAGTAGAAAGTTGAATTTGAATAGTTATTTGATACGATATATAAATATTGATGTGATTTTTTGAATATAAAGTAAGTAGTTGTTTGATTTTGATATTTTTTAAGGAAAATAAGAATTTGCATAGAAAAATCTGTGGTAAAACTCAGAAAAGTGTTCGACGTTTACATGGGCTCGATTAATTGATGGCATATATGTCTTGTTCATTGTTGTTTAGTTGGCTATGTTACCGAAATTTTGCGGTATGGACACGAAATGATTTAAATGAGTTCACTAAATTAGTAAACATTTTTTTCTGATGCCAATGACGATCGATTGTTACGGTTGCAGCGTCGGTCGGACTGTAACCAAGGGTCTCTTATCGCACCTCGGTTGCGACGTAACAGCGGTGGCTTCCGGCGACGAGTGCATCCGGGCGGTCACCCACGAGCACAAAGTGGTGTTCCTTGACGTCAGCATCCCGGGCGTCGACACCTTCGAGGTTGCCATCCGGATTCACGAGAAGTTCTCGAAACGTGACAGGCCGATCATCGTCGGGCTGACGGGAAACGCAGACAGGGCGACGAAGGAGAACTGTCTGAGAGTCGGGATGCACGGGGTGCTACTGAAGCCCGTCTCGGTGGATAAAATGAGAAGCGCACTTTCGGAGCTCGTCGATCACGGATATCTTGTCGAACCTCAATGACCCGATGCTGCGATTTGATTTTAAGGTACGATGTTTTCTTGCCCTGTCGTCTGATCGAGAGATTTAGTATAAATATAGGTTGGAAGAAAAATGCATCGGAGGGTTTCCGGGCCGAAAGGCGTGGTCCGGTCGGGGGGGGGGGGGGGGGGGGGGGGGGGGGGGGGGGGGGGGTTGGTTAGATCATGTGTTGTGTGATTTGTGAGTAATATTTTGTATTGGTAAGGAAACTAACAAGAATACGATGAAATTGTGTAATGAGGATTTGTGGAATGCACAGGAAGAAAACACAAAAGGCTTGTGAGAGCTGTTTGATTTTGTGTTTGTATTTTTATTTACACGTTGAATTTTAGAAAAAGGATCTCTACTCTCAATCACTGTATTCGTATTTCTTTTGTATTGTGGAAATGAATTGTGATACTAATAATGCAAAAATATAAAAAATATACATGTTTCGTTCATTAGTTAGCTTTCTTATTAGACTTTTATACTATGTATTTTATAGATCTGTAGTGTAATAAAAATAATTTTAGACTAGGATTAAAATATTTTATTAGTTTAATTAAAATTTAAAAAATTATAAATTAAAATATTTAATATGTGATTTAAAGTGTATAATTTTTTTTAAAAAAAATGATAAAATAAGTGGACAGACAAAAATGAAATAACCAGAGGAAAATGGAAAGATAAATACAGTAAGTAACTGAGTCGGATATAAAAAATAAAAAATTTGACAAACTAAAATTGTAAAATAAAAAATTGTTGAAGGGAGTATTTATATATGAAAAGATAAGTATGGTAATTGAGTTTGAGTAATATAATATAAAAAATAAAAAGTTTTCATAAACTAAAATTTGTAAAATAAAAAATTCACGAGGAAGTATATATATATATATATAGAGGATGTATTTATTTTAAAAAGTAGAATAAAAATATATATGATTATTTTAATAGATTATATAATTAATTAATATTATATTTATTTTAGATAATTAAGAATAAAATAATAATTATTTTTTTAGTATAAATATTATTTAGAAATAAAGTGATAATTAATTATCGTAATTAGCATATTATTATATCGACTTTAATCAATCAATACCATTAAATAAATAAGTAGCACGAAAACGTCCAAATAGAGCAGGCACACGATAAACTAAACTAACACATATATATATATATATATATAACTGTAAAACGTAAATACAATTTTGCTACACAGTTATATATATGTATATAATTTTACTTTACTGCAGCCTTCGTGCATGGTCGTCGTTTCAGCTGCAAATGCACGCGTGGTGCATTGCATTTTTCGCTCCCTGAAAAATTTCGATCCCAACCCCAAATCATCTCGCCATACAAAATTGAGGCTAACCTGTGATTTCTCCCAATGGATTAACGGGTTGATTTGATTGATATGACGGGAGGGTGGATTTTGATCTTTCTCTGGTTGTAATTTCTGGCAGGTACGATGTCTACGCTGCTGCATGCACTCACTCTGATGGTATTCGATATGTAGCGAAATTGGGGCTGGGAATAATTAATATTGTAACGAGACAGGAAAGTTCGATTCAATGGGTTGATTTGTTGCTGTTTGTCATCTACATTCACGATTTTGATTTTAATTCTCGTTTAGGGTATAATGTATATGTGCTTAATGTTTAATGACTATGCGTGGGATCTGGTTGATCGATGATTCATTTGAGTTAATTTGTTTGAAAACCTAGCTTGATTATAAGGTGTTTGAATTTCCGCTGTTTAGTTTCCACTTATTTGCCGATCAAATAATGTTCTCTGCTTCTAATGTTTGATGCTGAAAAGCATTATGACTTGATTTCCGAACTCGATTTGCACAACCATTCTATTGGGGTATTTAGTTTGTCTAAATTCGAGGAAGCACTTACCTTTTCTGTTCAGGAACATTCTTGTGGCCTCCTGTTGTTTTAGTTACTTTTTACAATAAGGTTACATTTACCATAGAAATCTGTTGTAAAAAATGGTTTGATTTTAACAATTGAGTCCTTTACATATTGTTCACAGGTAGTTTGAGTACAGTCTATGCACTGCAAAAGCATCTCTCGATCGGTTTGATATATAGTTGCTTTCCTAACTAATAGAATTCTCATTGCATCACCACTCTTGCTCAGGATAAGCTAGCCTTTCAAATATGAAGCGACCACAAAATGCCAAAGCAGCTGCTCAGAGGCTGGCACAAGTCATGGCTCATCAGTCAGCTGATGACGATGACGAGGAGGATGACCTTTTGAGTGATTATGAACCTGCTCTTCCTTCAGCGGGCCTTGGCTTAGGACTTGCTGGTGGAAGGCAAACTAAAACTCGAACTCCAGTGGTAATGAGCTTGCACGAATGCGCAAATCTTTATAGTAATATACTGCAACTCGATGAGAAATTTTGTTATAGCGGTGGCATTTACCATTATGCTTTCCTGGCCTAAAATTTCTATGCTAAATTTTACTAAGTTCCTTCAAAGTTCAAACAACTATTTATCATTGTGGTAAGAGAAGATAAAAAAGTACACTCATTTGAACTAGAAATTTCTACCTGTAGAAATTAAGTGGTACTTCTTGCTAAATATCAATCATTCATGGTAATCATAAACTGGATTCTTATAGGAAAGTGCAAACAGGGCTTGAAATTGGCTAAACAAAACTGAAAATGGAGACTGTTTCTTGATAGCCAATCAGTAAAAATTTTGTTCTTGATCTCTTTTAACATTCTTAAGATTTGGTTGTTGGATTATTATTCCTAACATGATTTAATCCTCGATTGAACTTTTCAGGCAGTTCGTAAGCCAGTCGAACAGGCATTACCTTTACGCACAATGCCAAGCACCAAATCATCTGCACCTGTTAACTCAGTAGAACAACAGCGTCCCATATCAGGTGTCAGAACTTCTGCATCAGAACAGAAGCCTTCATCATCTGTTCCAGTGCCTTCTGTTCGTCCATCTCAGTCTAAGCCTTTAGAGCCATCTCCATCTCTTCATCCTGCTGTTGCTGGTCGTTTATCTCAGTCTAAGTCTGCAGAGCCATCTCCATCTCTCCATCCTGCTGTTCCTGGTCAATCATCTCAGTTTCCAGACTACACTGAAGAAGAAGAACTTTCTTTGCGTTCAACTTCAAGTGCAAGAGCATCAGCAGCTGTTAACTCAGAACATCAGCCTTCTTCATTTAGCCGCAAGCCATCTTTTCTTCAAGCACCCTCATCGAAGCCTGTAGAACCATCACCATCTCTTCATTCTTCCGTAGCTGGTCGATTATTTCAATCACTGGACTCTGCTGAAGAAGCACAACCAACATCTGGTCACAATAATGTTCTTGGAAGATCTTCTTCTAATTCTAGTTTATCAGAACAGCCTTCATCCGCTCGTTCTATAGGCCGGCCAAGTTTAAAGATCAAGACTGCTAGTGGAGGACCAAGTGTGCCTCTTCCAAATAAACTGGGACCGTCTTTAAATTCTTCCGAGTCTCTTCGTGATAGAAACAGGTATTTCACAGTATCTTCTTTACTTCCACATTAATGATGCAGACTTCCTTTTCTTGCAGCACATTGTTTTGATTCAATATTTAAACCGTCTTAACTTTATTTGCTTGCACTTGGTTTTCAGCAATGTGCTCATGCATATTTATAATTCTAGATTCAGTCAATTGAAACTGGACAAGTTTGGATTTGGTAACTTTATACTATTAAGACTAGTTTTTGCTTACTGCCTCTGACTTGTGTCTTGGGTGCATGTAATTCCGAGGAATGAACATATCCTAGATCTTAAATTGTCTTATTTATTAACTTTTTAGTTTTTATATTTATGGTGTAGTTAATTTCCTTGGTTATGTATCTTAAATATTCTAGGTTTGTCTCTCCAGGTTATCGTTAGATCTTGGAACTCTCAAATATAAAGAGCCTGTTGGTAGCCAACAGTCTTCTTCTGCTCTACAAGATGAGGTAAAAATGTGAACAATATGTTCTTTGATGTCATAACAGATAGCATTCATATATTGAATATCAATTCTTTAGCAAGAGAAGTTTGAAAGAGTAAATATGTACCTGATAAAATGTGCTTTAATAAAATGTCATTGAACCATATAGCAATAGAAATACATAGGGTTGAATTTCATTAACAAGGGGGTTTCTGAATTGCAGCTTGACATGCTTCAGGAGGAAAATGAAAGTTTATTGGAAAAGGTAATCTCTTCTAGGATCTTATCATAAAATATTGAAATATTGGCATAGTCTACTGCACTGTACTCAGTAACACATTGATTAGCATGTCGTTGTCACCTATTTCAGCTACGAATAGCAGAAGAACGTTGTGAGGAAGCAGAATCAAGAACTAGGCAGTTGGAAAAACAGGTAAACCTACAAAAAACACTACAACTTGATGTTACTGTGTTGTTATAGGATAACTCTATTTCTTGTTTTAAAAAATTTATTATGGTTGTTTTTTCAGCAATGTGATGCTGCAATAATATTATGTATTAGTGACCCTCCAGCCTTGTTGCATTCTCTATTTCCCCGAAATGGCAAAAGTATTTGATTCTTATTGCTGTTTTCTGATAGATTGCATCTCTGGGAGAAGGCGTATCTTTAGAAGCCCGACTTTTAAGCAGGCAAGTAATGAATTTTAGAAATCTTCCATATGGAATTTTTATTATGGATCTAAGTTGTTTCCTTAACTTTACTAACTATGCAGGAAGGAGGCGCAGCTTCAAAAACGAGAGGTGTGTATGACAATAAATGATTTTATTAACGACAATTCAGATTCCGTGTGCTCTTATTACATTAAGCTTTGGTTTTCCATCGGATAATGGGTTACATTTTTTCTGATTGCTGTTTATTTGCCTATATGTTTTAATATTTTAAGAAGTCCCTCAAACTTTGTAATTTGAGCACCGTGTTGCAGGCTGCTCTTAGAGTAGCATCAGTAAACTATGGTGGTGGAGTTGATGAGATTGTGGCACTTCGAATGGAAGCTGAGGTATCCTGAATACCGATATCTACCTTTCATCTGTTGTTTTCCCCTGTATGGACTTTTCACACCTATGATTTCAAATTCTTTTTATTTAATGCCACAATAAATCATTATGAGTATGACACATCTTACTGAGATAGACATGATTTTAAATAAGGCTGCAAAGGAGGAAACTAAATCACTTCGAACCATGACACAAAGAATGATATTGGCTCAAGATGAGATGGTATGTACCCGATACAGTTTACACACTACTTTTTCTGCTTTCCTTTGTAGATATATACTCATGCATCTTACTTTAGGAAGAGGTTGTTCTGAAGCGGTGTTGGCTTGCTCGATGCTGGGGTTTATGTGTTCGCCATGGTAATTTTCTTTTGCCCTTAAGTTTGGAGCACCAAATTTCAGAAATTAATGCAGTGCTTATTGCTCTTTTATTTTGTCAATTGAAAGTTTTGATCTATTAGTGATCTGAAATACACAAGTCATGATAAAGAAGCTTATCATCGTTCTCACCATTAACATTTCTTATTCCAACTTTTGCTCCTTTAATGAACCAATATAAAAATGCTTGACCAGTTATTAAATCACTATTAACATTCGCAGGTATCCATGCTGAAATAGCTGAAGCAAGATTCGACTATTGGTCCTCTTCTGCTTCACGTCCAGTTGAAGTTATATTAGCAATAGGACGTAAAGCGAAAGATGAAAATTCAAGTAAGACCTTCTCTGCCCCAATTCTAATGGTATTTTAGACCTCAACTTGGATATGTATCAGTATACAAAGTAACATAATTGTTAAAGAATCCATATATTCTGATACACCTTTGGCTCTAGCCCCACCATGCTAATTTGTACTTCCGTGTGCTATAATAGTATAAGCATGAAATCATTTATATACCTTTACTTGCAACACCATCCTATCATACATTCGCCAGTTAACATCTTTATGCTATACTAAGTGTCTAATTATTCTTGTTTTGTAGTAAGCAATGATTTGGAAGAAAGGGAGAATATTTTAGACAACAAGGATGAAGTTTCAAAAAGAGCCACGGTTGAGCACATGCTTTTGGTAGAAAAGGGTCTAAGGGAATTGAACTCACTTAAGGTTCATCTCTCAACCATGGTTCTGCAGTTTCAGTAGGCATCATAATAAAGTTCTGCCCTGAATCTGGCTCTGTCTTGTTTCGAATAACAATTTCCAATGTGTTTAGATGATAATTTATTCAGCTCTTATTTTGTTTGATTGATTTCGTTTTTCATTATTCACTGATGCACTCATTAATCTTACATTTACTCTTCATTCAAAGGTGGAGGAGGCATTAGCATTGTCAATGGCTGAAGAACATCGTCAAAGTGTGGTTAAATCTAATGCAACAGGTGGGAGTTCGTTTACTAAAGAACATTTTCTTGTGGCACAACCATCTACATGTAATATGGTCATGAATCATGACACAAATTGAGTATGATAGTTCAGATGTGCAACCTAAACAGGTAAACTTAATTAATCACTGTGCCATTATCACCAAAATATAAGAAACAGAACACACAGAAATGAAGCTGTAGCAGTTAAGCAACATCCTTAAATTACCAAACATTCTGTAAAATCCATTGAGTTCATATTCCGTGAGTATCATCTTTGTGTTAACCATACATTAGTCGAAAGCAATTCAATGTAGCTGTCTTATCATGTGTGTTACTCTTATCTATCCTGTTTTGCTCACCATTTTTTTAGTCATCATTCTAACACTTTTTCTTAGCTCAGCTAATTCATTTTATTGCTGCACATAATAAAGTTGTTCACATTCTTATGATGAGTAAAGTCGAAAGTCTTCAGAGGGTAATCCCTTTACAGAGCCCCAATCTTGAAGCAATGAGACAATACTATTGATTACCACTTGGAAGAGAGCTTTATGCATGAAGTTCCACTTTTAATACTTATGAGAGAATGTTTAATTCCCACAATTATTTTAATTCTTCTGGCGACACTCTCTTGATTTCATTGACTGTAGATGACGTGAGGCTGCCAAGCGAGGGCTACGACTATTCTGAAGCTTTTGGTAAATATTACACCACTGATACTCCTGCTATTTATTTCTAGTTTTGAAGTCTAGATTATAGCAGTTTTCTCTGTTTCAGAATTGAATCAAGAAGAAAGCGAAGATGTACATTGTAAACAGGTAATCCAACAATTCCTTTTGCCAATTCATTGCCTGATTACTGTTGCATTTTCTACTAAAAGGCATCAGGCAAAGCCATTCATCCTCTTTGATTTGGTATTATTTATCGAAAAATGCTTCACACAAATGAAAATGAAATATATACCAGTTGTTCTTTTGACCCTTTCCAGGCTCTGCTAATCTTTTTCTGGAGACGTGCTAAAAATCTAGGCTTGGAATCAGACATTGCGGACGATCGACTGCAGTACTGGATCAATCAAGGAGATAAAACACTAAATTCACAGGATGCAGTTGAAGGTAGACTTTCTCTGACCCCTTCCTGTCGCCATTTTGTTGGTCTTCCTAATCTGCTGCTTTAATTTATTAATCATGTTACATGAATGAAGTTTATTACATCAGTGATTGCCATAGATTTGTTGCTTCAATGTGCTAGTGTAGCTCAATGTTTAATGTCTCTCCTTGTCGGGAATTTCTCTTGGGAGGTATTAGATAAAATACTTGTTAGTTATTTAGCAAGATCCTTGAAACAAATCAGTGCTAGATTGAAATCCTGCTGTTACCTCTCATGAGATAAATATCTTACTTGATGCTAAATTTGAATCCCGACCTTTACTGTTGATGAAATATAAGTATTTTACGCGGTAGGTACACTAAAGACACAAGTGAATTGGAAGTATGATGCATCAGCAACACAAGCGTGTTGATAGTCAATGCAGGATCGACAAACACACACTAAACATGCACTTAATGAGTCAAATATTGTATATGTTGTTAGCATATATGTCTCTGTATCCGTCATTGGTTGCATGCAGTTGAGCGAGGGCTGATGGAACTCCGGAAGTTGGGGCTTGAGACGAAGCTGTGGGAAGAAGCTCGCCGGCTGGTCGATCCGGACAGTGCCGAGAAAACATTGCTGGAAACTGAATATCAGATACTGGAAGCTTAGCTTGAAGCTGATCTGCATTTGCAGGTTTGATTTAGTTGCCAATTTGAAGTGTAAATCTGCATATTGGTATTATATGATCATCATATCATGAAATAAGCAGTGATTGTGAGGCTGGTTGCTTAATTGTTGATTTTTTTGAATTTTTGATGGATTATGTTGATGATGGATGGATCTGTCATTTGTTTAAAACCATTGGATTGCAGCATTATGTAATGAATTCCTGCTAGTGATAGAGAATTTTATATTGAGTTTGTACATGTATTGAATTATATATATATATATATATATTCTAGATTTGATTATTTAAAATATCAGTTGAATCATCACATTGAACATTTGTATTGAGAAAGTATGATAAATTTTATATAATACCAGCCAAATATGTTCATTTTATATTATTATAAATATATTGAATAAATTTCTATAAGTAAGCAAATTACTCAAATATTGTGTAAGTTTTTGTTAAATTATATATAAAACGGATTGTTGAATTATGATGTATATATTTTTTTAAATATTTCTATGTTGAACTACATAATATATAGAGAGAGAGATACATTTTTTTTATAAATATCTATCTATATATGTAAATGTAAGCAATTATATCTACATCATTGATATTTTGATTTAAATATATAAAATATTTGCTGTAAAATAAATTTTCTAGTTAATTATTATATTTTTTTATAATTTGATTTTAATTTTTCTTATTATATAATTTTTACAATAATTAAAAAATATATATTATTTAATTTTTTTAAATAACACATTTATATTAGTATTAATATATATATATATAAAAAAAATTCAACTTCTAATGTGATGTGTTTACACAATAAAAAAATTCATATGGGCTTTAGAATTGTTATACCAACAAATATAATATATATATATATATATAAACGTACTTTCAAACAATATGTATAATATATATTCTCTTCGTCTCTCATATATTTTGGATTTATCACTTTAGATACCTAAATTTAGGTAAAATATAATTAGTAAATAATTAAAAATATATTAATAAAAATAATTATAAATTAAAATTAAGATAAAAAAATAGTTTAGTTAAGATTAAAAAAGTTATAAAATTTAAAATGTAATTAAAGTAGATAATCATATTTCTAAAAATTAAAATGACAAGTTACGTAGACGGATGAAAAAAAAAAATAAGGACAAATTGTGGGGAGCTGATGGAGTAATATATTTATTAACAAACAATCAACAATTTAATATAATTTTTTAGTTTAAACAATATTTCGATTAGTATATTCATTGTGAATGTTTATTATCATAAAAATACTTCAAATTAAAAATACTAAACAACTAAGTGTGTTTGTTTTGTATTTTGATTTGAAATTCTTTATATATATATATATATAATATAAAGAATTGTATAAATAATATGAAAATAATGAGTGTACATAGTAGTATGTTAATTTTTTTGAGAAAAAATGTATTTGAAAACTTTTGTTAAAGAAACAAACCTTTTAGTTAAAACTTAAATGATATTTTAATATAATAATTATATAAGAAAATAATTTTATTAAAAATCATAAAAATGAAATACATATTTTCACGTCAAGTAGGTGTAGGAATGGTCGTGCGTGTGGCTAAAGTTTTGACCCATAAAAAATTGACTTGTGGTGAATGAAGTGCACGTGCAACTCATACCTAACAAAAAGGTTTGCTTTGATTTGGATTTAAGAGGTGGTTTGACTTCGTATTACAATAACTAGTCCGTACGCCTTGTAATGCACGATTATTGAATAGTACTGCTCCCTTCGTGTCAGATACGGTGTTCCGGTAAATATAATTAATAAATAATTAAGAATGTATTAGTAAAAATAATTATTATTTAATAAAAATATTTTTAAATTAAAATTAAAATAACTAATTAGTACAACAACTGCCAATAATATGCCACATATATCCAACGACATCAACTTCCACGACATAAATTGTAGACGTAGGTGTTTAAGCTTATGAGTAACAATAGAGTGGAAGAGTCCATGGAGAATGAGAAGGTTTTGTTGTTGATGGAAGGTTGCATACAATAATCTATATGCAGTAAAATCTTATTGCACTCCTTTGTGTTGAAAGAAATATTGACATTACATGTAGGTACAGCTGACAAAAACTGACTCGACACGATTCGACACGAAATAATTGGGTTTGGGTCGAAGATTTCAATCCGATTATGTATACGGATTGACACGAACCCGACACGATAATAAACAGGTCGGGTTAGGGTTGAGACTCTCAACTCGAACCCAACACGACAACTCGACTATAATATATTAATATTTATTATATATGTAAAATAATCATAATTTATTAATTTTCTCATAAATTAATTTAAATTAAGTTCAATTTTAAATAATTCAACATAATTTACGCTCAAACCAATAAAAACTAACAACACAACAAAAAATTATTTAATTTGAATCAAGAAATTCGACTTAATTATGTATACGAGTCAACCCGAACTCGACGCGATAATAAACGGGTCTACACGAACCCAACACGATAATAAACGAATTGGATTAGGATCGAGTAATTTAACCCGTTTAAAATATTCAACCCGATACGAATCAACTAATTGCCGGCTCTAAATGTAGGTGAGGCCAAGCACTTTGCTTATGTAGTGAAATTCAGTTGGCAACTTTTATTTTATCTCATGTCTTTCCAATCAATGATTAGGCACAACCTTTGGTTAAAAAATAAATGATTAACTTCATTAATACTTCTACTTTTTCATGTTTAATCCGGTGTATCAAACAATTAGTTGTAATAATATAATGGTGCCATTCATTATGTTTGGAGATCATATATTCCACCAATTTATTAATTTACAGCATATCCTCAAAAGATTGAAAATCTAAAATATAAATTTTTGGGTTTTGTTTTGTGCACATATTTGTAGTTATGTAGGGTTTGTGGTATTATACTGTTATGTAATGTTTTAAATATAAATTAAATAAATAAAACTGGTTTTTGAATATAAAAAAAAAATAATGAATAATAAAAATCAGATTTAAGAGTTTGGAAGCTATACTTTAATATACAATGTTTATATTAATATGTTATTTTATTTATATGTTAGGGTGGGATTTCAATGCCACACTAAAATACCTAATACACTATATACTCCGTAAAATTTTTTAATTAATTTTATATAAATAAAAAATAAAAATTATTTTAAATAATATTTTTTGAATAAAATAAATAAATGAATAAAAAAATCAATCAACTATTCATGTAGTAGTTTTTTTAGACAAATTATTACTTAATTTAAATAATATTATTAAAAAATAAATTATTAATTAATTTTTTTTTTTTTATTATTCAAATAAGGTTATTTAAGATATTTGATATTTTTATTTGTATAATAAATTTGCATAATTAGGTGTATGCTTACAACTAAATATCGGGTTTGAACGAATATAGTGTTTTGTGAATAGTTTAATTTAACATGAAGGATTTCACGCAAATAATAGTTTTGTAAAGGCGAATTAAGCATTTGACATTCATGATTGTGCATTATGTGCAAAATTCAAATGTATGCAGATCATGAGTAAATGATAGATATGATTATTATAGAAGAAAGTATTTTCCATGTGTACATGATAGTCAAAGGGCATTTATGAAAAAAAATATATATATTTTAATTTCCGCAATTACCGTGAAAAAGGAATAGTGTTTGAATTTTTAATGTCATGTTTTCAAGATTCACTGAATTCGTTGAGTAACTTACCTCATTAAGACTTATTTAGCATAAGTGTGTTGTTTATGATCATTAGACTGTTTCTGAATTATACGTTACTGGAGTAATTTCAGGAAGATTTAGAGTTGTTGTAAAATTGAAACAACGGATTGTTGAAGAGCAGGTAGCGAATTTTGCTGTTTGTGATTGTGTGGAGTTGTAGCCAGAGGTTCCTGACTACACTTTCAGATTACAGTGTTATGATTTTTATGCATCCTATGGTATAAGAAAATTCACAGTTATGCCAACTTTTCACATTATTTTTTGCAGCTTAAGAGGTTGAAACTTCGTAAAAATAATTGGGACTCAAGACACATATGAGTTTGATGAGCTTATTACTGAATTTGCATCACAAAAGAGAGTCTATGAAGTTGTTGCGAAACTTTTTGTTGAGGTGAGTTTATTATGTCTTTTCATTTAATTTTATAAAATTTTGAAATATTGTTCTGAAGATTAAACTATGGTATGCCATGAGCTTTTCTCATTGTAAATTACTCGTATTCCTGTACATTCTTAATAAGAGAAAAGGATAAATGGAGATATTCTTTCTTGGTTACATGCACCTCTGACTTTTATGATAGATTGCATATGTTATATGTGCGGATAAATAATTGAGATGACCAATAGCGATACTTTAAAAATAAATACAAATTGAGATGACTGATTGCACCTATTAGTATGAGACCATCATGGGTGAAGAGGGTTCTCTATGTGAGGCAGATTATAATGTTGTTTGTCGTGCTTTGGTTGATGCTCTGAAGAACTGTGTCAATGTCAAAAACAGAAATGTTGTAGAATGTAGAAATAATTCGGTTGGACTTCGGTTTGCTGAAGAAGGCAGCCAGTCCATCCAGACTACCAAAACAATAAGAAGAAGACTACTAGCAAGAAAAGAAATGTAGAGTACATCTTATTTCTTTTCGGTATCTATTTAAATCTTATCCACCTTTGGCAATGCAAGGAATTTATCAAAAAAAAATATTCTATCTTAGTTCCCACAAAAACCAGAAGCAGTTATGATTGAGACTCGAGGCAATTTACAACAAATGGTAAGTAGTAATATAAATCATTAAGTTTGTGTGTTGATTGATGATTGGCTTTCTAACATCTTGGACAAATTTTATTATATAGTTTGAGATTTTCGATATGTTACAATTCTGTTTGAAATGATTTAATCCGTACTATAAGATATTGATTACCTGTGTTTTTCCTTAACAGGACAACCTAAGCTCGGAAGGAATTGCTTTAAATAGAAACTACGGGTGGGTCTCAACAACATGTACATGAAGTGGTATGATTGTTGTGACCAACACCATATGATATTGCAAAGCTTCTATAATTGATAATAAAACATATTGAATATAAAGAACAAAAATGATGCCTCAAATAGAGCCTAAAGAAGTTTAATTCACCTCTCCTTATTCTCTTGCACAAGGTCATAGTGATTTTAGATAACCCACATTTGCATTTGGCATGAGATAATCTTTTTCCTATCTATTCACTAACCCACATCCATATTTGGCATGAGATAATCTTTTGCTATATATTCACTTGCGCAGGTGCATATTGACTTTAAATAACGCACATCCACATTTGGCATGAGATAATCATCTTGCTATCTATTCACTTGCATAGGGGCATATTGACTTTAGACAACCTATATCCATATTTGACATAAGATAACCTTTTTTCTATCTATTCACTTGCACAGGGGCATATTGACTTTAGACAACCCACATCCACATTTGGCATGAGATAATCTTTTTGCTATCTATTAACTTGCACAGGGACATATTCACTTTAGACAACTCAAATTCACATTTGGCATTAGATAATTTTTTTGTTATCTATTTACCTACAAAATGGCATATTGACTTTAGACAACCCACATTTACATTTAGAATGAGATAATCTTTTTGCTATCTTTTTACTTTCACAAGGGCACATTGACTTTAGACAACCAATATTCACTTTTGGAATGAGATAATCTTTTTGCTATCTATTGACTTGTACATGGGCATATTAACTTTAGACAACCCACATTCACATTTGGCATGTAGGTCAGTTATTACGCCTAGGTGTCGGAGTAGACTAGTCATGTATGAGCTCACCCCATATGTTAACTTCCTTTTCTGCATCAATTTCCGGTGCTCGAGGAGTTCAACAATTTCACTGACATATAGTACAGTAGCAGAAAACCTTCAACTGTTCTAGAATTCTATAGATAATTTCAGTAGAGTCAATGCACCATCCCTTTGTTGTCGAGTTTATATTATAGGTGCTTTTGTGTGCAGTTTTTGCCCTTTCTTCAACTGTAATTATATTAATTGGGTTTCTTCTACCAAGTAAATTGTGAAGGTTAATAGTTTTGAAATATATGAAAAACTATGTTTCCGCTTAATCCAAGAGTAGTGTACAGTTATGAAATTCCCAAACTAACATAACATTTATAGTAGAAAACGATCTTGGATGTTCAATATTTTATTATTTCACATACAAGCTAAAGAAAAGCACAAGACATTTTGGTATGTTATGTTCTCATTCCTATTATTGTTGGATTAAATTTTTGTTTCATGTTAATTTTTTATGTTAAATATTCAACATCTAATATTTTACTTAATGTTAATTTTTTATGTTAAATACATACAATTAATGCATGCATCAATCATTTACATTATGCAATACCCACATAACATCGCGCACACGAGTTCGTGTATATATATATATATACATTATTGAATCATATATATATACACGTATAATAGAAAACAAAAAAATAAAATAAAATCACATGTATGTCAATGATATTATTATAAAATTAATAAACACATGCTTCATCCGTTTGGAATATGTAAACATTTAAATTTTATATATAAATTAAATAATAATAATAATATTTTATATATAATAAAATAGTATGTAAAAAACATATTGACTGAAATGCTCTCGAATGTAAAATTAATAGAAAGTTATATATTTAAAATTTAAATAAAATAGAAAATATTTATTAATATATGATTTTTATATTTATTAAATTAGAAAATCGATATATTAATAATGAACCATTCAAAATAATAAAATAAATATGATATAATGAATAATATAAGAATGGTCAGTGTCTTGGTAATAACACCATGCTAATTATTTCTAATTAATGCATGAAATATAAGCGGTCAACACATTGATGTATAAATTATTATTATATATTTTATGTTATATATATTATATTAATATATTTTGTGTGACAAAATTAATTATATATACATATCAATATGCCTATCATTTGAATAATTGACTACCTTCTAGATTCAGCTGGATATATATTTGGACACAATCAAAAATTAAATTAAATATCATTTATTTATTAAAAATATATATATATATTATTTGGACACAATCAAAAGTTAAATTAAATATCATTTATTTATTAAAAAAATTATATATATTATTTGGACACAGTCAAAAGTTTACTTAAATACTATCATTTATTGATTACAAAAAAATTGGAAGAGATCAAATCCAAAAGGGTTGCTTAATTACCCAATAAATGAATATTTTGTAAGATTTTGAAGTTATTTTGGTAAAGTTTCTTGTATTTTCCTCTTCCTCATCATTTGAACTCGGTTTTATTTTGATTCATCGTAGTTTTAGCTTTGATTTGATCTATCACATGAGCTGTTTGAAGAAAAAAAAATGATTTTATATGATTTTGTATGAGCTATTTGAAGAAAAAAATAATTTTAATGAAAAACATAGCGGTGTGTTCAATAAATTTTTTTGCTATTATTGTGTGTTGTTTTATACTTTTATTTCATTTGAGGTGCGGACATATGTTTTAATTTTAATTAAAGAGTAATTTTGTCTTGTTTGAGTGAAAAATAAATTTTGTATAACTTTCTATACTTACACACTCTACTTTCTATAATTTATCTCTTTTAGGAGAAGTATTTAGTATGCTTAACTAATATTTTGCTTCTTTTTTTTTTTTTTTTTAACTTGTTTTCATATTTTTGTTTAATTGTAGATTTGGATACATGTGTTAACTTTAATTACGGGTCAATTTTGTTCCATTTGGATATAAAATAATTTTTTAGTGATTTTTACAATAAAGTTATTTTATTTTTTGACTTGAATGGATTGTGTAAGTTATGATGATATTATGGGTATGATTTGAAACATTAATCAAATTTTTGTTCTTTGAAATCAAATTTGAAAATGTTATTTTCATATTTCTAATCTCAAATTTAACTTAAAGTGTATTTGAAATCTTTACCATTTTCTTTAAATTATTTCAAATTCAAATTTAAAAGTAAGAAATCTTTGAAAAAAAAAAAAAAACCTTACAAAAATAATGACATTAATTAGTTCGACAATATAATTCAATTTCATCCATAATAACATAAATCAAATTCATCCCCACAATAACATAAATCAAATGCATACACAATTAACTTAAGTTTATTTATTTATTTACAATTTTAATTACTTGATGGTGCAAGATTTGAAACAGCTAAAACAGCTAAAAACTCATGTTCTATTCTCATAAAATGTGGTATAAATTTTTATTATTAGATAATTCTACAAATTCTTTATATATATATATATATAATACACTTCCTCTGTCTCAATACAATAATCTTATTTATTATTTTTGTCCGTTTTAAAACAATAGTCTCGTTTCCATAAATAACTATATCACTATAAAACTACCATTACTTTTTCATTATTATTACACAATTGCTCCTACTTTTTACACTAATACATTCACAACTGCAAAAAAGTCTTTTACCTTACTTTTTATCCACTATCAATATAATATCAATATTTCTTCAATCACGTGTCAAACCCAACCCAACCTAAACTATAGTTCTGAAACGGAGAAAGTGCTATTTATTTATTCTAGCGAATCATTACTTCCAAACAAAAATAAAATTTCAATATCAAACTAAAAAAAAAAAAGAAAAAACTCATATATGTTTAATTGTTAATTATTTTTGCTCTCTTTAAACATTGTTTGATTCGAATTTGTGTAATAATAATTCGAATGATTTGAGTTTGTAGAAAAATTGTTTGATATTATTATATTTTTTAAGAATAGTATTTTTATTAGTAATTAATTGTACATAAATTTTGTAGAACAAGAAAATTCAAACCAAATACAACTTTAGTATATTAAAAATTGATCTGAACATAAAATTGGCTGACAAAGATAACATATTATATATTTTTATATTGTACTTTAGTATATAAAAAATTTACTGTACTATATAAAAACATCAATTTTTCATTATCCACTGTCATTAATTTTTTACTAAACATAAGTTTGGTTAGTAATAAAATCAGAGCTTATTTACTTACAAAAATAATAATACAAAATAGATAAATTCAAGAGTGATATATGCCGCACATAGACTAGTGTGATTTGTTTTTTCGAATCTAATTTGTAAAATATTAGGTTCGACCAAAAATTTATTTAGAACACACTTACCTATAGCTAGGGGCGAACAAAATATTTGAAGTTCGAAAATTTGATCTAAACCAAACCGAAATTTAAAATTTGGTTCGGATTTTTTGGATTTTCGGATTGAATTTTTGACAAATTTTGGATTTTCGAATCGGGTTGAATTGGATCGGTATACTTAAAATCCGAGCTAATCCATAATATAACATTTTAATATATTTTTTATTATATATTGAATATTTTATTAGAAAATATTATATTTTAATAGAAAAAAAAACTCATAATTATTAATTATATTTTAATATATTTAATTTTTATATTATATATATATTTAATATTATAAAATAAACATAAAATATAAAAATAAAATTTACAAATTAGAAAAATAATTAAAAATATTTAGAATTTGGATTTTTCGGTTGGTTCGAATCTGATTTTCGGATTTCGGTTCGATTCGAATTGATTTTTTAAAAAAATTTGAATTTTCGATTTGATTCGAATCTACCAAAATTCAAACCGAAAATCCAAATATCCACCCCTAAATTTCCTCGATATGAAGAAAAAAAAAAAAAAAACATACGCACAAAGGTAGCGAGACATTTGGACCTCGATGAACTTCGGGGGAGCTTCGATCCGATCTGATGGTCCCATTCGCGCGATAGCTTGACTTGATCCGACGGTCATTATTGACCCTTTTAGTCGTCACGCAACCCAACCAGCGGTCAACTAATTTACAATTCGGGCAGCAGTAACCGTCAATCCGTACGCTGCCCCCTGCCCTATAAATTCACCCATCCAATCCAATCCTCTTCGTCTTCCTACTCCCTCATTACTCACAATAATTAATCTGATCGGAGAATTTGAATGGGCGGCGGAAACGATAATCCGGTGAAGATCGTCATAATCAACACGCAGTACGTGGAGACCGACGCCGGAAGCTTCAAATCGGTGGTGCAGAGGCTCACCGGAAAGGAGACCGTTCAATCGCCGGCGCCGGCGCCGGAGCTGCGGCGGGGAATGTCGTTCAAGGAACTCGATCGGATACTGTCGGAGATGCCTCCGCTCGATGAATTACGCAGGCTTTTGTGGTAAAGTGTTTCATCCACAGACACCACGGAATTATTCATTTTTTATATATTTTATTATTATTATTATTATTATTATTATTATTATTATTATTGTATATAGTAAATAAGTATTGTATGAGGATAATATATAATTAAATACAAATTTTGTGACTTTTTCAAATAAAAATAATGGAGTAAAATTAATTAACAGATGAAAAAAAAAATGAAAAAAAATAAAATTGATTTGTATGTATGTATATACGTCTGTGAGTACATGCAAACACACTTATTTGTTGATTCTTTGTATTGAGATGCTAATTTAATGATGATTAATGGTCTATTTACTTATTTATTTAATCTTTTCTTTTATTTGTAGCTATTTAGCATATTATTTTTTTTCTTTTAAAAATATCATGGAATAATAAAGCATTCTTACATTTTGACATATAATTAGTAGTGTATAACCATCTTATTTTACTATTTATTTCTTTGACTTATAAAATGGTGGGTAGTAAAAAATAACTCAAAAAAAATAAAATAAAATAAAAATGAAATGATCATAATCATATTAATAATTTTAAAATTTATGAAAATTGTACAGTTTTAGGTGGTTGACAAATAAATGCCATTAATTAAGAAAAAATATCTATACTTAAAATTGTCATACCATTAGAAAATAAAAATATCCTAAATTATTTTGATATATATGACATATAACATTTATGTCAATTGTGGACTTTATTTTAACTTATTATTTCAAATCAATTGAAAAATAAAAAAACACGTAATAAAGTAAATGTATGTTTTGTATAGCTTTTCCATTTTCAACAGCAATATTAATTAATAATTAGAAAAAATATAACAAAAAAATAAGTTGTAGAAAAAATAAATTTGTGTGAAAAATGAGAATTGATTATATGTGTGATAAAAATAGATAATTAAATTGAAAAAAATATAATAAAAAAATATTTATTATATGTATCTATAAATAAAAAATGCACAAATCAATAATTTCAAAATATTATAATAATAATAATAATAATAATAGCGAAGACAGGAATAAGATTTAAAAGAATAAAAATAGAAATAAAAGTAATCGGATAAAAACTACGAACCGAACACAACAAATAACCGAAACTACGAACTCGAATCTAATCGAAAATATTTGTCTTATTTGCAAATAATTCGAATCGAATTTAAAATAATATATTTAAAAAATAATTTAAATTTCAATTGACTTAAAATATTTGCAAATATTTATAGAGTAGAATCAACCCCAAATTTATCCTAAAATAAATATATTCAACAAACAATTGAATAAAAAAATAAATATCAAAAGATTTCACAGTAGTTACGCAACTCTTGCAAACCACAGTATAAAAAAATAAATAAACAAAAATAAACAACATCATTACCACTGATTAACAAAAATCAAACCAAATAATAATAGAAGAAGAAATAAAAAGAGGAATTTTAACAAAGAAAGAAGAAAATAATATCCTGAATACCAAGAATGAAGTCGAACATGATAATGGCGGTCGACAGAGATTATAACTTACAACCGCGCGACGGTTGCGTTGGCGTCGGCGTCGGCGTCGGCGTGCGGCGGTAAGCGGCAATGTGTTCGTCTCGTAAATTCGATTGCGATTAGGGTGTGTGAGCGTGCGTCGATTGTGTGTTGTAATTTAGGGCTGATATCTGATTTTAATTTTTTAAATTTGAATAATAGATTAATGAATTGTAATTGAGTAGCCCATTTGGTTAATATAATTTATTTATTCAGCCCATTAGAAGGCAAAAGCCCAATAAAATATAATTATAATGTATATAATTAAAAATATAAAATTAAAAAACTTAAATATATTCAATTCGGTTAACCGAACCGAAAAATTTGCAAATAACCGAAATTAAATTAAACCGAACAAATATTAAATATATAATATTTGTATTCAAACCGAATTTATTTGATTAACCGTTCAACTGAAATCGAACCGAATTAAACAAATATCAAATTTAGTTGTTTGTCTCAAAAGTTTTAAGTAGTAATTATGGACTCTTGTCACTAACTATTAATACTTTTTTTACACTTACATATCATTTTACTTTCATTGTATTATACATTTTTATATAAAAAAAATAAAGCTAATTTGATATTTATACTAATAATACTTTCCCACTACTATTAAAATATTAATATTTTTTATATTTGTTAAAAAAAAATAAAAAATCAGTATAATGCATATTGTCCAATTAATTTTTGTGTTCCATGAAATAACATCTTTTATGATTTTATAAACGATTAAATAAGGTATTTGTATAGTAAATTAACATTAGAATATACCAATTCATCAATATATTAATTTTTATAAAACATTAGATATAAAAATGAACATGCATGTTATTTTTTTAACATATTAATCGCTTCGATTAGAATGCTATTAATGGTTCAATTAGTACATAAAATACTATAGACAATATATAAAAACATTACATATAATATATGTTGTATAAAATATTAGTATCTGCTAGCGTTTAAAACGAACATTACACATAATATATGATTGATATATTTTAAAAATAGTTTTTTATAAAAAAATACAATTATAATAATTTATTAATGACTAACATATATATATATAATTAAATAATAAAATTATTATAAAATTAATAATTTGATTTTAAATCTGATTATAATAATTATTTTAAAAATTTTACTATTTACTACAAAAAGATGACAAGAGATGTGCCGGGAAACGAGACTACACGGCGTCCACGCATTATTATGATTGGCGCGTAGCCTCACTCTCAAAATAAATCTTCATTTCTGCCTCATAATATTATATATATTTTAATTTGACCCCTGGATTCTTTCCTGCACTTCCACTCTACCCCTGTCGGAGAAAAGATAGTACGGTTCCTCCTTTTATATTTTCGTATATAACAATTGATATATATATATATATATAAATTTTTTTATGTTTGGTCAAATTTATTAAATTAAAATATATTTAATAAATATAAAATAACTTAATTAATTATATAACATAAATTATAAGACTCATTAAAATTTTTTTTTATTTTATCTCTCCTAAAAATATATATATTTTTATCTATATTTAAAACTTTTGCATCTTTTATAAAATTAATTTATGATAATTATAAATAAATAATAATATTTTTTATTTATTTATAAAAAAATTTATTATAATATTCTATATAATTAAAATATTTAAATATATATTCTAATTCTTTATTATATTTATTAAGTTTATTTTAAAATTATTAATATTATTAATTATATAAAAAATAATATTATAATTCTCTATTATTAATTAATTATACATTATTTTTTTAAATATTGTGACTAATAAAAAAGTACAGAGGTAATATATTTTTATTAAAATTATGCAGCACAATATAATACTTCTCTATAGGGTATTACTCTGAACACGCGAATTTGGTAAAGTATAATCACTAAGTAATTAAGAAGTATATTAGTAAAAATAATTATTATTTAGTAAAAATAATTATAAATTAAGATAAGTAAAAATTTAATTAAAATTAAAAAAATTATAAAATTTAAAATTTAAAATGCTATTAAAATGTATAATTATATTTTAAAAATAAAAAAAATAAATTACGTTTGAGATCGCACGAAAATAGAAAATAGGACGGAGGAAGTAATATTATAAAAAATCCACCCTAATTCTTGTTGATCAATAGTTTTAAATTATATCCAATAAAACAAAAATAATCATCATTTAAAATTATAATTTCAAGAAAATCCTTTATTTTATAGTCCGTATATAGATAAGTAACGACAAGGGAGAAGCAGCCTGATCTTGGACATTGCGTCGTCCATTTCTCGCCATAAATCTTTCAATCTCACAAAATCCGTCATCAGATCAGCTACAGACATGCATGTATGTGTTGTTTTATTTTGAAGGGAATTTGTTGCTACAGAATTCTGAATTCCGTACTTACCCTGATGTTTCCGTTGCGAGATTTTGATTTCTAGTTTCGGTATGTTTGTAATTGCATCCCGTCGCGAATTTGCATCGAGATTTCTGTAGAATAGTTGATTCGTGCCTGATTGCGGTGGAATCTTGAGGCTCGGTAGCATTAAACCTTTAGGGTTTCAATTAATTTTATTTTTTTTGTAATTTTTTAGGGGGTGAGGTTGGGGGTTGTGTAGTTTGTATGGGGAATAAATTGGGGAGGAGGAGGCAAGTGGTGGATGAGAAGTACACCAGGCCTCAGGGGTTGTATCAACACAAAAATGTGGATCACAAGAAGCTTAGGAAGCTGATTCTGGACTCGAAGCTGGCACCGTGTTACCCTGGCGATGATGATTGTGGTGGTTGTGACCTCGAGGAATGCCCTATTTGCTTCTTGGTTTGTGCCTTGTGCCATTCATTATCTTCGTCAATCAGAATTTCTTTTTAGTTGCAATGATTTTCAAGCTAAAATGGTGTTTGAAGTAGTAGTCTTGTTGATTTATTTACTGCCACATTAGGAATTTGATTGTTATAATTGTTTGAAGAGTTGATAGTTGTGTAACTGAGAGCAATTCTTGAAAAGTTGGGTTAATCCATTAGAAGTTCTTAGTTAGTTTTTGGTAGCTTTCGTAGTAACTTGATATGATTTGTTTTTTAAGAACTGGAACTAGAAACGTACTTGATATGAACAGAGAATGCACATTCCTCTTGATGAGGAGTATGCCCTTTGTTTAATATTGTTGCCTTTTGTTTTCGACATTTTCAGTACTATCCAAGTCTCAACCGGTCAAGATGTTGTATGAAAGGCATTTGCACGGGTATGGAGCTGTGCTTGTATTTGAATTTTATTCGATTATGTTCTTCCTATTTAAATAATGTATCCCTTGCTATTGTTTGTTTGAGACTGTATTCGATTGTTCTGCCTTGCAGAATGTTTTCTGCAGATGAAGACTCCCAATTCTACTCAGCCTACACAGCATCCTTGATTACTTTGATATCTTTTGGACACCTTTTTGAGTAGAAGTGATAATTCGTTCATGTGTTCATTTATCTGAAGATACCGTTAACATGTTTGAACGAACATACACAGTAGTTGCACAATTATAATTTATATTTTGTTCTGTTTTCATCTGTTTTGCTTATCTTAACTGTAAAAGATGTCCGTTTTGCAAAACCCCAAATTATGCTGTGGAGTATCGAGGTGTTAAGACAAAGGAGGAGAAAGGCTTGGAGCAACTTGTGAGTGTCCGAAAATTTTATACTATTTTATTTTGTGTTCTCCTTTACATTGTGTTGAATTGTAATCACCGTGGATTACTTAATTTAGGAAGAACAGCGCGTTATAGAAGCTAAAATAAGGATGAGGAAGCAAGAACTTCAGGATGAAGAGGAAAGGATGTTGAAACGAAGAGAAATGAACTCTTCTTGCAGTATGAGAGGATCAGCTGAAGTTGACCATTGCTCGACACGAGGTCATTGTTTTATTCCTGAGTTAATAATTATTGTTTCCATGTCTTCTCATTTACTCATTGTGTCCTTTATGTGCAGTGTCATCTTTTGCTTCTGCCATAGAAAGTGAAGAATTTTCTGGCTTATGCGAACCCAGCGTCAATCCGCCCATAAGACTGCCACCACGCCCAAGGCAAACTAGGTACATAATTTTTTATATTTTCAATTTAAGTTTTTCAAACACATTAGCTCTCGTGTCAAATAGGAAGTTTTCCCTTTGCATCAAAGTACATTTTCTACCCTTCATCCATAGACTAAATCATATTAAGCTAATTATGTGTAGGTTCAAGCTCTACTAGTTTTTTTTTTTTTTTTGTTTTGTTTAATTTATTATAATATCAGTATATCACCACATGAATTCATTCAGGTTGATGCCTGGTTACCATCCTTCATTTTGTGTCATTGTTAAGGAGGATTGTCATTGTGGATCTTACAATTTCTTGAATTGTGTTAGCATAAATTGTTTTACAAAATATTGCTTGCTTCTTTCTATTTTGGTTAGCATGTGGATCTTAACAATGAGCAATGGCCAAAACTGGCAATTAGATCATGATTTATTTTTGTTTTGGAATTTACATTTATGATATGTTGGAATTATAGTTGAAACTAAGACTGATTCTGAGTCCCATAATCAATATTTCTGTCTCATTTTATTTTGGGAAGCCATATGAAAATTTTATCACTTCATTTTGAAAACAGTTTTCGTTGGGCATGCTGATATGATACTTTGAAAAAAGTGGAGCGAGTACAAATTACAAATTAGGTGGTGCTCACAATCCTAACTAGTAGATTTTAGGTCTCCTTATGCTTTCCTATCAGCATAAAGATTTAGATTATTGGCAGCTAAATGCATCGTTACCATTCATCAATCATTAACGATTGAAACGAACCTTTTGTATAATTTGGTAGATTATTTACTATCAGAATCTGTGAGTTTAGGCAAGTTGTAAATAAACATTTGAAAATCACTCCTAATATTTCGATCTGAAACATTATCTGATTTTGAACATCAACTTGGGCAGAATTTTATTAGATTTCCACCTCACCAATCAGAATTCCATTACTTTAATGGAACTTGACTTTGCAATGATGTTATAGTGGCATGAGTTTCTTGTAACTAATTGAAGAAAGGCTCCCTTTGTGTGCTTAGTTTAAATTTTGCTGTAAATAAATGTGAATATATAGTTGTCCTGGTGCAGAGTATTCAAATTTAGTGGTAATTCTAGATTGTAAGACATGTTAAATCAGGTTTTTTAAAGATTAAATAGTGGTTCGATATGATTATTTGAATGGAAAATGTGTGTTGGAGGAAATTGAGAGATTTATAGTTCAAGAAAAAAAAAAAGATGAAAAAGCACAAGTAACAAACATATGTAGATTCGTATATCATTGTTTAAAATCAGTTACATGGTGGCTTATAATATTCTTCAAGTATATGCAACTTTACTTTCAAATATATTTTTGTTCACGATCGGTTACGTGGTGGTTTATAATAATTTTTGTTCGAAGCCAGCTGCATGGTCGCTTATCTATATCAAGTTTATATGCCACTTTCCCGATATTTAGCATTTCTAGTTGCTGAAAATTTTTAATAGGAAAATATTATTATGGTATACCCTTTGGTTTATTGGAATAAAATTTATCTTCCTAGAGATTAGTTTGATGATCATTCTGTGCCGGCTTTGTTTTTGGGTAACTTCAGGGAGGATGGATTCGATCTTGATCTTGAGGACATAATGGTTATGGAAGCTATTTGGCTTTCTATTCAGGTACTTATTTGCGCAAGTTAATGTTTCCACTTATAGTGATTTTGGTACTCATTTTGACCGTTGAAACAATCTCGAGCTTTGCTAGAGTCGTATTATCCTTTTCCGTGACTGAATTGAATTTGATTATTTCAAATGTAACTATCTACCGATGAGTTTTCTTGTAATTATATCGTCATGGTGAACTTGATAGGAAGCTGGTAGGCGCCGGGATCCACATTACAGCGATGCACCTCAGTCGACAAATTATGCAGCAGAAGATTGCCGCTCGTTGGCAGCAATGACTGCAGCTTCATCGTCGTCTTCACCTTCTAGTGGCCTGGCTTGTGCAATCGCTGCCCTTGCCGAGCGCCAACAGACGAGCGCTGAGGCCTCCGATCACCAAATGTCCACATTCAACGCCCCAGGCTGCAGCACTTATTCTGATCCCGAACAAGAATCCGAAAACTATTTCCCTGCAGCTCAGCTGGCCGAGGTGGGAACTTGTTATAGAGGTGGCTCGGTTGAATTCCCCGGCTCTGTTGAACGCCAAGAAGATGAATATCAGTGCGCCATTGTTCCCGAAAGCTTCGAGGAGCAGATGATGCTAGCCATGGCTGTTTCCCTGGCCGAGGCCCGGGTAGGAAATGGTACACCCGGTGTTGCTTGGCGATAGCACTTGAGATCGAGGCTTCCCTTCTTGGCAATCAATGTCTTATTACATTATTCGCCGTGGGATTCTGTCCTAATACCTGTAAGTCATCTCTTTCAAGTTTTGTCGAGAATCTGTCTATACAAAATGGCTATGTGGTTGTTACAGCTTTTTATTTTTTTTGGCGGGAAATGCTACGAGGCTCGCCTACGAGCGCAGGTATGAACATACGTACTCGCGTATATGGCTCGCTACGCTTATGTATTTTGGCATTGGCTCTTTTGGTTGCTCGATTCGGTTTTTGCACTTTTTTTTTTTTATTTTTCCGTTTTTCGAATTTCAGTTGGGCTGGTAATGTAAGGTAGAGTTTGTTGTGGATGGAAGAAAAAAAGGATAAGAAGTACTGGAAAATGTAATTTTTCTGGTAAGTGTTTTGGATTGTTATTTTGGATGTGATATTCTAGCAAATGAAACTTCTTACGTTTATTTGAGCTGAATATATTATTATATATTTGTTGATTGTGATATAATGGATGAATATTTTGAAAATTATATGATGAATTAATTAAGTGAGAAATTTTTTGATAAAATTGAACATGTAACTAGTGGTAACATATTTGTAAATAAGTTTGTGATTGGACTATGTATAAGCTTGTCTAAACCCCATGGAAAAAAATTATTGGAATGACAAAACATATTGGCTGTGTTGTTTTATGGGTTTTACTACACGTTTTTACTATTTATTTACTCCATTCGTCAAATTCTATTGTTCTAAAGTATATTTGCAGGATTTTTAAAGCGATTGTCTTTTTGTTATGAATTGACAAATTTGCCCATAATTGTATGGTAGAGATTAAAAGTAATAAATGAATGAAATGTAAAAATGTAAAATTTGTGTTTAAAAAGGAAAATAGGACGATAGTTATTGGACGTCTCAAATAGGAAAATAGGACATTAGTTTGTGGACGGAGAGAGTATTTTTTAAAAATATCAAATTAAACAATTTTTTTTAATATTATACTATAAATTTATTTTACATTTAAAATATCACATCAATTTCTATTTAAATCATAATTTATTTAATATGCTAATTGTTTTTTAAACATAAATAAGCAAGGACAAATGCATTAGGCCATCAATTTATGTTAATTACGATTTGAAAGGTTTTCTTTTCTTTTTTTTTTTTGAGTTATTTTAAAGTTTTAAATAATGAAAATGTACATCATTTGTCTACTAACAATATATATTTTCTTTTTATGTAAAAATTTAAAAATAATAGGAGTAGTATTTAAATAATAGTTAGTGCTACTTATATTAAAAAAATGCCTTTATATTTTAGTTTGATATAATAGTATTAATATAAACAAATATGAATAAAAAGATATTTATAATATATTGTATGTTCAGACATAACAAAAATAGAACTATATACCTTGTGTTTGTATAAAGAAAATTAGAAAAATATATACCTTGTAAGTAAATGTAAGTATTTTATATAATATTATTATGAATCAATATATATTTTTATTTAATATTTTAAATATAAATAATTATTTAATATAATATTTTCGTCTTATAAAATAATGTTCAAATTTTATGGACATGAAGATTGAAAATTTTAGTATTTTATATTATTTGTGTATATTTTTTTTATAAGGATGGAATTTGAATTTTATAGAGTTAATAATGTGAATTTTTTATTAAATTAAAATGAATGTAAGAAATATATTAGGTGTGTATAAGTAGATGAAAAATTAGCAGATGTATATTTAAAGAAAAATTAATATTTTTTTGATTAAATATGATATGAACACATTTGTGGTAAATATACTAAAATAATAAAATAACCATATTCTTAGAGAGTATATATTAATAACTCATATCAAAATAATATTCCCTCTGTTTCATAAGTAAATATTTATTTGTTTTTTTTACGTAGTTTTAGAAATATTAGTATTATATTGGGATATAGTAGGAATAATGTAAAAATGACTAAAATAACCTTATTAGTATGTGTGATATAAAGGTAATGACATTTGTGTAATATATTGTAAGTCGTAAGGGTATTTGTAATGTTAGGTAGATAGTACAATTACTAAAAAAAAAAGAAAATAGATACTTTGTTATATGATGAACTAAAATGAAAAAATGGATACTTTGTTATGGGACGGAGAAAATATTAAACTGAGTAAATATAACCAAATTGGTAAACATTATTGAAAAAAATATCAATACAAAAATATTGTAAGTATTAATTTATGTCTTAGTTTGTATTTTTATAATATTTAAATTTAATATTACATATGTCCCACAATTAAGTATTCATTTGTTTTATTTGCATTTCGAACTTTAAATATCAATATTATATTCATATATAGTATAAAATTTAAAAAAAAAAAAAAAACTTTATTAGTGTTATATAAAATATTACATATATGTAAATATATTTTTAATGTTAAATACAATGACGCAAGAAATAAATAGATACTTTGTTAAGTGACGGAGAGAGTATTTTCTAATAAAAAAAATACTATCACTGTGTTTGTTTTGTATTTTGTTTTAAATAAATATTTTTTTATATGAATTATAGAGACTTGTATAAGTAAAATAAAAAAAAATTATATTTAATTTTTAATTTTTGTAAGTAGATACAATACATATTATATTATGTTAATATATCTATATATTTATATTTTTTAAAAAATATTGATGAAAAAAATTATATTATTGAAAAACACAATATGAACAAACTTTATACTCCCTTCGTCTCATTGAAAGGTTGTCATTTTTTATTTTCGTCCATCCCAAAATAAAGTTACCATTTTCTAATTTAGTAATTGTACTACATACCTAACATAATAAATACTCTTTCAACTTACACTATATTATACAAACAAATGTCATTACTTTTATATTACATAATACTACTAGGGGTATTTTTGTCTTTTTCACCATAATCCATTATAATACTAATATTCAAAAATTTACGTGCAAAAAAAAGTAAACGACAACCTTGTTTTGGGACGGGTGGAATATTTTTTTTTTCTAATAATAATAACAATAATAATTGGTTAGGGATTCATTTGAAGTTGATGTTATGCTCCCAATATTTTTAATTTTTTTTCGTCAACAAATAAATATATTTATATTTAATTTTAATAAAAGTATTTTACAGTAGTTATGTATGTATGATATAAAATTAATTTTTTTATAAAATAATATTTATATATATATATATTCTTGAAATATAAATTTTAAAATATTTAATATATAGTATTTTAAATCTCTTATATATATATATATTTATATATGTATATATTACACAAAGAGTCTTATTTAAATAAATCTCATCTAATCCAATTTTCGTTTACAATTTGATTTGGTAATCAACTAGCATTGTGACCAAACACACCCAATATTGTTATACTATAATTTATGATTTTTTTTTCATTAGATTTTTTTATCATTTCAGTCTCATAACACGAAATTGTCTTAAAATAATTTAATAAGTATGTTTTTTTTTTTTTATATATATATTTAATCTTACAACGTCAGAAATGCCTGCATGGCATGTCGAAAGACGCGTGTCCGCCAAGTCAGTACTATCTCGAGGACATGTAAATAATTTTTCTTTTATTTTTAAAAATAAAAAAATAAAAATACAAAACATAAAATTAAAAATAAAATAAAATAAAATAATTATATATATGTATAAATAAAATTTAAAAATATAAAAATAAAATAATTAAGATTTAAAATAAAATAAAAATATAAAACTAGAATATTTTTTTATTTTATTTTATTATTTAATTTTTTATTTTAGAAATTTAAACTTGATTACGTAGAACTTAACTATTATATTATATTAATTTTATAGTTCTCAATTGTTATGCATTCTTTTTAATTTTTCTTAATCAATTATAATATTCATGCAAAAAATATTGCAAACAAGAAGAAGCGAAAAAATAATACTACAATATATTTACTTTTTTAGAAAAATATACATCATCCGTCCGTCTTTAAGAATTACTGTTATTTTTTGTGTCATTATATTTAAATTAAAAATATCATTATATTTTTATTTTTTTTGTACAAATATCATTATATTAATATTATAAGACACTAATAGAAATATTTTTATCATTATTTCTTTATTTGTTCTATATTTTGATACTATAATTAATATTTAAAGATTAACACTTAAAAAGTAAATGTGATAATTACAGCCGGACGAATGGAGTATTATAGTTTTGAGTATTATAAATGATATTTTTTAAATCTTGTATATTATGTTTAGGTTTTAAATATTTTATTTTAGTAATTTCATTTTTATGTATTTTTAAAATTGATTTAGTTTTGAATATTATATTCTAATATTTCTCTCCATCGGAAATTATGTTCAAATTTTGAGACTTTTACATTTAAAAAAATATTTGAGGAATTATTCATACATAAAATACAATAAGTTTTGATATATAAAAAATTATTTCTATTTTAGTATTTTTATTTTTATGCATATGTGTATTTTTTTAATTATCTACTGTATTATTTTTATTTTTTACTAATCATTTTTATGTATATTTTAATTGATTTTTTTAGCATTATATTCTTTTTTTTATTATTATTATTTTGTACAGTATGTTTAAATTTTAAAAATCTATACTTGAAAAATTCATACGGAAAATTATAATAAATTTTAATATATATAAATTTTATTTTTATTATAGTATTTTTACTTTTATTATTGTATTTAAAAATTATATATTGTATTTTTTTACTAATCAATTTTTTTATTATTATTTTTAACAATTTTTATTTTTTTATTGTGTATATTATTATTTTATATTCTCTTCGTCCATTAAAATTAGAATATTTGTGTTCGACACAAAAATTAAGAAAAAATAAATATTTTTATTGAAAAAATGATAAAAATTAAAAAGTTATTGGAATATTCTTAAAACTTTAGTTAGATTTTTTTTTTAAAAAAAAAAAAAAGAGAGAAAGAATGTAATAAATGTAACGATGTTTATTGTAAATAAATATTGAATTGGGGATAATAGTTTAACATTGATTTGTTGAATTTGCTATAATTAATAATGGGGAAAGTATATTAAAAAAGTATAAGTATTATTTATAAAAAAAAATTAAATAAGTATATAATTTAATATAAAAATAATACTCTCTCATCCCTTAAAAAACTATTCATTTTTTTTTTATTTTGGTTCGTCCCATAACAAAGTATTTATTTCTTTTTTTAAATAAATGCATTATCTATCTAAAATTACAAATATATTAACCAAATGATATTACATTTATATCATACAGTACTAATAAAGTTATTTTAGTCATTTCTACATTATTCTTATTTCATATCAATATAATACTAATATACATAAAATTTTGTGCCAAGAGTTAATAGATATCTAGTTTAGGGACGCAAAGACTATAAAAATAATTGATGTATTGCACGAGTTACACCATAATAT